GCCAGTATGACTGTGTTTGCCAGTATGACTGTGTTTGCCAGTGTGACTGTGTTTGCCAGTATGACTGTGTTTGCCAGTATGACTGTGTTTGCCAGTATGACTGTTTGCCAGTATGACTGTGTTTGCCAGTATGACTGTGTTTGCCAGTGTGACTGTGTTTGCCAGTATGACTGTGTTTGCCAGTATGACTGTGTTTGCCAGTGTGACTGTGTTTGCCAGTATGACTGTGTTTGCCAGTGATGACTGTGTTTGCCAGTATGACTGTGTTTGCCAGTATGACGCGACTGTGTTTGCCAGTGCGACTGTGTTTGCCAGTGTGACTATCATGTGGGAGTTCGACACGTGGATTAGGTAAAGAAATACTCACGTAGGCTGGTAGTACGTATAATTACAGATAATGTGGAGTGCGCCCTTACAGCCGTACCTATCTCTCTGCTCTCTTAACACTGACTGACTGGCTGCCCACAGTACCCATATGTGAGAGGGTCTTTGAATAATGCCAGGTCAGCGCAATATGAATATACAGTGACTCAGGCAGAGACGGTTGGTCGTGAGTCAACTGGCACAGTGGTTACTGGTAACTGGTTACTACTACTGAGACGACTGTGTTTGCCAGTATGACTGTGTTTGCCAGTATGACTGTGTTTGCCAGTATGACTGTGTTTGCCAGTGTGACTGTGTTTGCCAGTGTGACTGTGTTTGCCAGTATGACTGTGTTTGCCAGTATGACTGTGTTTGCCAGTGTGACTGTGTTTGCCAGTATGACTGTGTTTGCCAGTGTGACTGTGTTTTGCCAGTGTGACTGTGTTTGCCAGTATGACTGTGTTTGCCAGTGTGACTGTGTTTGCCAGTATGACTGTGTTTGCCAGTATGACTGTGTTTGCCAGTATGACTGTGTTTGCCAGTGTGACTGTGTTTGCCAGTGTGACTGTGTTTGCCAGTATGACTGTGTTTGCCAGTGTGACTGTGTTTGCCAGTGTGACTGTGTTTGCCAGTATGACTGTGTTTGCCAGTGTGACTGTGTTTGCCAGTGTGACTGTGTTTGCCAGTATGACTGTGTTTGCCAGTATGACTGTGTTTGCCAGTATGACTGTGTTTGCCAGTGTGACTGTGTTTGCCAGTATGACTGTGTTTGCCAGTGTGACTGTGTTTGCCAGTATGACTGTGTTTGCCAGTATGACTGTGTTTGCCAGTATGACTGTGTTTGCCAGTATGACTGTGTTTGCCAGTATGACTGTGTTTGCCAGTATGACTGTGTTTGCCAGTATGACTGTGTTTGCCAGTGTGACTGTGTTTGCCAGTATGACTGTGTTTGCCAGTATGACTGTGTTTGCCAGTAATGACTGTGTTTGCCAGTATGACTGTGTTTGCCAGGATGACTGTGTTTGCCAGTATGACTGTGTTTGCCAGTATGACTGTGTTTGCCAGTATGACTGTGTTTGCCAGTATGACTGTGTTTGCCAGTATGACTGTGTTTGCAGTATGACTGTGTTTGCCAGTATGACTGTGTTTGCCAGTATGACTGTGTTTGCCAGTATGACTGTGTTTGCCAGTATGACTGTGTTTGCCAGTATGACTGGGTGAGAGAAGACATGTGTTGTGTCATCTGCAAATAACATGGGTTTAGTAAGTGTGATACATTCAGTAGGTCATTGATGTAGATGGTTAGTTAGTTAAATATTAGCCGGTATTCTCCCGGCCCGGGCCTTTTCCAAGTGGTGGCCCGGCCTTGGCTCCCTCTTTAGGGAGTGTCTGAGACCTAAGTCTCCCGTGGGAGGAGGCACAACTACCTCCTCATCTTTGGGACCAACTGTCCCCAGGCCTAGCCACAAGCTAGGCCTCTCTGGTCTGCCATCCCCGCCCCAAGGGGGCAAATGGGAATGACAGTCTTATGAGCTATAAGCTCGGGCTCAGGCACCTACCCTACCCTAGAAGGGCTGGGCATGGTGTCGATGAATGTAGATGAGAAAGAGGAGAGGTCCTACGACACTTCCTCGTGGAACTCTGACTGTGACTGGTTGAGTGCAACAGTTCGCTACATATGTGTACACATATTGGCTTCTGTTAGTAAGGTATGACTTTAGGTAGTTGAGGGAGCGCCCTCTCATACCATAATGTGTTAATTTAATGTGCAGCAAATCATGGTAGACTGTACCAAAAGCTTGACGTAAATCAATGAAGATTCCCAGTGGGACTTGTTTCTTCTGGAGAACTGTATATATTAGTGCTAACATGTGTATTATACCATCATTTGTGCTTTTATTGTTCCTGATTCCAAACTGACAGGGGTTTAGTATATTGTTTGAGACGAGGTAGCAGCACATCCGTCTATGAATTAATTTTTCAAAGATTTTAGAGAGTAGTGGTAGGTTAGAAATTGGCCTAAAGTTATTTAAGTCAGCTTGATCACCTCCTTTGTGGATCGTGGTGACCCTCACTATTTTGAGAATAAGTAAGTAAGTAAGTAAGTAAGTAAGTAAGTAAGTAAGTTTATTCAGGTATACACAAATACAGTTATATAGAATTATCATACATAGCAGCATATGTGTAGAGAACCTGGGATAACCCAAAAAAGTCAGAGAGAGTGACTTATTTCCATCGCTGGGAAGGTGAAGGATTTGATGGATATGTTAGAGTTGCAATGATTGTTGACGGTACTTGTGACAAGTTGATGTCTCCTGCCTTCTTCTGAAGGTGTTGACGATGAGACTTCTGTTAGGGGGACATGGGTAAGGTGGACATGGGTAGGGTGGACATGGGTAGGGTGGACATGGGTAGGGTGGACATGGGTAGGGTGGACATATGTAATGTGGACATGGGTAGGGTGGACATGGGAAGGGTGGACATATGTAGGGTGGACATGGGTAGGGTAGACATGGGTAGGGTGGACATGGGTAGGGTGGACATGGGTAGGGTGGACATGGGTAGGGTGGACATATGTAGGGTGGACATGGGTAGGGTGGACATGGGAAGGGTGGACATATGTAGGGTGGACATGGGTAGGGTAGACATGGGTAGGGTGGACATGGGTAGGGTGGACATGGGTAGGGTGGACATGGGTAGGGTGGACATATGTAGGGTGGACATGGGTAGGGTAGACATGGGTAGGGTGGACATGGGTAGGGTGGACATGGGTAGGGTGGACATGGGTAGGGTGGACATGGGTAGGGTGGACATGGGGGTTCACCAGAAATTGGAAAACTTTTAGGCTTATCTTCCTGACTCAAACTGAATATTTCTGAAGTTGAGAAATATATACTGGTATATACAGTGACATATACACTGGTATATACACTGGTATATACACAGGTATATACACTGGTATATACAGTGACATATACACTGGTATATACACTGGTATATACACTGGTATATACACTGGTATATACACTGGTATATACATGTATATACAGTGACATATACACTGGTATATACACTGGTATATACACTGGTATATACACTGGTATATACAGTGACATATACACTGGTATATACACTGGTATATACACTGGTATTACAGTGACATATACAGGTATATACACTGGTATATACACTGGTATATACACTGGTATATACACTGGTATATACAGTGACATATACACTGGTATATACACTGGTATATACACTGGTATATACACTGGTATATACAGTGACATATACACTGGTATATACACTGGTATATACACTGGTATATACACTGGTATATACACTGGTATATACAGTGACATATACACTGGTATATACACTGGTATATACACTGGTATATACACTGGTATATACACTGGTATATACACTGGTATATACAGTGACATATACACTGGTATATACACTGGTATATACACTGGTATATACAGTGACATATACACTGGTATATACACTGGTATATACACTGGTATATACACTGGTATATACACTGGTATATACACTGGTATATACACTGGTATACTCTGATTTATATATTAAGGGTCACAACAGTTGGCCTCAGAGTCAGTGATATACACAGTATACACTGGTATACCCTGGTATACCCAGTATACATACTGGTATACCCAAGTATACCAAGTATACATACTGGTATACACTAGTATACCCTGTATACACAGTATACACACTAGTATACCCTGGTATACCCAGTATATACACTGGTATACACTAGTATACCCTGGTATACACAATGCACACTGGTATACACAATGCACACTGGTATACCCTGGTGTACCCAGTATATACACTGGTATACATTAATATACCCTGGTATACCCAGTACACCCTGGTATACCTGGTATATACAGTATACACCCTGGTATACCCAGTACACACTAGTATACCATGGTATACACAGTACACCCTGGTATACCCTGGTATACCCTGGTGTGCCCAGTATACACCCTGGTATACCCAGTACACACTGGTATACCCAGTACACACTGGTATACCCTGGTATACCCAGTACACCCTGGTATACCCTGGTATACCCTGGTGTGCCCAGTATACACCCTGGTATACCCAGTACACACTGGTATACTCTGGTGCACCCAGTACACCCTGGTATACCCTGGTACACCCTGGTATACCCTGGTGTACCCAGTATACACCCTGGTATACCCTGGTATACCCAGTACACACTGGTATACCTTGTTATAACCTAGTATACCCAGTATACCCTGGTATACACTGGTGTACCCTGGTATACCCTGGTATACCCTGGTATACACACTGGTATACCCAGTATACCCAGTATACCCTGGTATACCCTGGTATACACACTGGTATACACTGGTGTACCCTGGTATACCCAGTATACCCTGGTATACACACTGGTATACACTGGTGTACCCTGGTATACCCAGTATACACAGTATACCCAGTATACGCTGGTATACACACTGGTGTACCCTGGTATACCCTGGTATACCTAGTATACCCTGGTATACACACTGGTGTACCCTGGTATACCCAGTATACCCTGGTATACACACTGGTGTACCCTGGTATACCCAGTATACCCTGGTATACACACTGGTATACCCAGTATACCCTGGTATACACACTGGTGTACCCTGGTATACCCTGGTATACCCAGTATACCCTGGTATACACACTGGTATACCCAGTATACCCTGGTATACACACTGGTGTACCCTGGTATACCCAGTATACCCTGGTATACACGCTGGTATACGCTGGTATATCCTGGTATACCCAGTATACCCTGGTATACACACTGGTATACGCTGGTATATCCTGGTATACCCAGTATACCCTGGTATACACACTGGTATATATATTAAGGGTCGCAGTTGGCGGCCTCAGTGTGACGCTGGACGTCACGGAGTGCGGACGTGTGGAGATTAGTCTCCTTCACCAGTGAGTCATTATACCTTCATCATCCCGCCTTACTTCATCATCCGTCACTCATCATGCCTCTGGAGCCACCGAGCTGTAAACCCGCACGGGTTCATCACCCCACGGCCATTTATCCCCCCTAAATCGAGAGTTTTTACCCAAAAGACAAAATTTTTGCTTAAGCTGACTGGAGAGAATTTATAATGGTAATATTTGGTTAATATTACCATTATTATGGTAGTAATATTTGGTTAATATTACCATTATTATGGTAGTAATATTTGGTTAATATTATCATTATTATGGTGGTAATATTTGGTTAATATTACCATTATTATGGTGGTAATATTTGGTTAATATTACCATTATTATGGTGGTAATATTATGGTTAATATTACCATTATTATGGTGGTAATATTATGGTTAATATTAACATTATTATGGTGGTAATATTATGGTTAATATTACCATTATTATGGTGGTAATATTATGGTTAATATTACCATTATTATGGTGGTAATATTTGGTTAATATTACCATTATTATGGTGGTAATATTATGGTTAATATTACCATTATTATGGTAGTAATATTTGGTTAATATTACCATTATTATGGTGGTAATATTATGGTTAATATTACCATTATTATGGTAGTAATATTTGGTTAATATTACCATTATTATGGTGGTAATATTATGGTTAATATTACCATTATTATGGTAGTAATATTTGGTTAATATTACCATTATTATGGTGGTAATATTTGGTTAATATTACCATTATTATGGTAGTAATATTTGGTTAATATTACCATTATTATGGTGGTAATATTATGGTTAATATTACCATTATTATGGTAGTAATATTTGGTTAATATTACCATTATTATGGTGGTAATATTATGGTTAATATTACCATTATTATGGTGGTAATATTTGGTTAATATTACCATTATTATGGTGTTAATATTTGGTTAATATTACCATTATTATGGTGGTAATATTATGGTTAATATTACCATTATTATGGTGGTAATATTTGGTTAATATTAACATTATTATGGTAGTAATATTATGGTTAATATTACCATTATTATGGTGGTAATATTATGGGTAATATTACCATTATTATGGTGGTAATATTATGGTTAATATTACCATTATTATGGTGGTAATATTATGGTTAATATTAACATTATTATGGTGGTAATATTATGGTTAATATTACCATTATTATGGTAGTAATATTATGGTTAATATCTTACAATATTCTCTACCTTCCCTCTTCCCATCTTTACTCACCATTCCCTCACTTACAATATTCTCTACCTTCCTTCTTCCCATCTTTACTCACCATTCTCTCACTTACAATATTCTCTACCTTCCTTCTTCCCATCTTTACTCACCATTCCCTCACTTACAATATTCTCTACCTTCCTTCTTCCCATCTTTACTCACCATTCTCTCACTTACAATAATCTTCTCTTTCAGAGAGTTTGTTGACCACGAAGCAGGTCCTTGGTCATACTCAAAGCACCTAATTTCTCTCGGGAGATCTTCCCTGCCAAGATGTACATAATTTCTCCCTTGAGGGAATAACATCTCTGAAGAACTTAGCGAAGCACTTTCCGTCTGGTAGCGACACCTACCAAGATTGTCTCGTATCTCTCACACGCACAGTCAAGTATCAGGGACTAAGGCAGAAGAAGATGTCCCTTTCCAGGAAGTCATCAGCTGGGGACATCACGCAAGGGGCAGACATCTCATCCTTGCAAGACAGACATTTTTCTAGTTCCCCAGCAGACCGTGGTGCTGCTGCAGCAGGCAGTGTTGCTGTTGCAGCAGACAGTGGTGCTGCTGCAGCAGACAGTGTTGCTGTTGTAGCAGACAGTGGTGCTGCTGCAGCAGGCAGTGTTGCTGTTGCAGCAGACAGTGGTGCTGCTGCAGCAGACAGTGTTGCTGTTGTAGCAGACAGTGGTGCTGCTGCAGCAGACAGTGTTGCTGTTGTAGCAGACAGTGGTGCTGCTGCAGCAGACAGTGTTGCTGTTGTAGCAGACAGTGGTGCTGCTGCAGCAGACAGTGTTGCTGTTGTAGCAGACAGTGGTGCTGCTGCAGCAGACAGTGTTGCTGTTGTAGCAGACAGTGGTGCTGCTGCAGCAGACAGCGTTGCTGCTGCACCAGACAGTGTTGCTACAGTTATAGTCTCTGCTGTAGGAGAATCTGGCTTCACACAAGCCTGGGAGACGCCAGTGTGTAGCGGGTCAAGACCATCCTTCTCAGAGATCGTGTCAGGATGCAAGACGCCACATCACTATGATATGCCCTCACGAGACAGGTGTTTAGTGACTCCACAACCTGTCCTCTCTGAAGACTTCCCCACAATAGAACAAAGCCTCAGTGAGCGTATGAGTCAGCTGAACAAGGAATATCCCAGGTATCCCTCAACAGAGTCACATACAGGCAGTGTAAGTACCTCTACAAGCTTACAAGAAGAACAAACAGGAGGCAAGAGTTCTTTACCACAAGAGGTGTACAACAGGATGATGATGTACAATTATATAATTTTCGCTAATCTACCCGTGGGCGTGCAATATGAACAACTTAAAGATCACGTGCAGAAGATGGGACCTGTGTTCCGCATGTTCAAGGAAAGAAATATCTTACATGTTACTTACCTTCACGAGAAGGCAGCAATAAAGGCATTTAACACACAACAGGAACTCTTAGGTCAGAGGCTGTTGGTACTGAGACCAGCACTGGAGTCAGTCTGCCTCAACCTGGGACCACTTGTACCTGACACTTCTATGGAGGGCAGTGCGAGTGCGGTTAGTGTCGTGAGAGATGTTCAACAACCCATCAACTGCCAGAAGTCAGTTTCTCTTTTCCTGGGAGGACTTTCTGCCGATACTTCTGATGGGGACATTGTTAGGACACTCAGTAAGTTTGGTGTTGTTAGTAGCTTTCAACACCCAGTCAATCGCCACAATGGTATCCCTTACTGTTACTGCTTTGTGGATATTGAGGCTACGACAGCACAGAAGCTGTTGCAGCAGAAATATATTTACATCAACAATAAGAAGATTCAGGTAGAAATGGCCAGGAACCAGACACAGGAACCCCGAGATCAACCACAACCAAAACGCACAAATGATGATGGTGGTCATAAAGTTTTCCTGAGGAACCTACCCAGTGGCACCTCTTATCAAGACGTTAGGGAACATTTCTCTCACTTTGGACACGTGAGAAATGTCTATGTGAACAACAGGAAGGGATATGTGATCTTCGACTCCGAGGACACACTGAAGATGGTTGTAGCTACAACTCATACTCTACAAGGAGTAAGAATCAATGTATCCCAGAGCTACACACTACCGGAACAAAAACTGTACCTAGGCGGGTTACCACCTAACACATCTAACTGCGCCATTATGCAGGAATTAAGTCAATATGGCAGAGTGCTAGACATGTGGCGACCACCGGGCCACTTTCCTGGTCAACTTGCTCCATTCTGTTTCGTTGCATTTGAACACGAGCGAACAGCGCAGTTGCTGCTACAACAAGGGTCTATCATCATCAACGGCAAGAAGATTGATGTTAAGTTGTCTAACAGAGCAACTCGGAAGCAGTAACTGATTGACTGACACACTTCGACAGTTACATAGCTTGACTGACACACTTCGACAGTTACATAGCTTGACGGACACACTTCGACAGTTACATAGCTTGACTGAGACACTTTGTAAGTTACATAACTTGACTGAGACACTTTGTAAGTTACATAACTTGACTGAGACACTTTGTAAGTTACATAGCTTGACTGACACACTTTGTAAGTTACATAACTTGACTGACACACTTTGTAAGTTACATAGCTTGACTGACACACTTTGTAAGTTACATAACTTGACTGACACACTTTGTAAGTTACATAGCTTGACTGACACACTTTGTAAGTTACATAACTTGACTGACACACTTTGTAAGTTACATAGCTTGACTGAGACACTTTGTAAGTTACATAACTTGACTGAGACACTTTGTAAGTTACATAGCTTGACTGACACACTTTGTAAGTTACATAACTTGACTGACACACTTTGTAAGTTACATAACTTGACTGAGACACTTTGTAAGTTACATAACTTGACTGAGACACTTTGTAAGTTATATAACTTGACTGACACACTTTGTAAGTTACATAGCTTGACCTCTCTGTTTATGATTACCATTATTATTATTATTATTATTATTATTATTATTATTATTATTATTATTATTGTTGTTATTATTATTATTTTATTATTATTATTATTATTATTATTATTATTATTATTATTATTATTATTATTATTATTATTATTATTATTGTTGTTATTATTATTATTATTATTATTATTATTATTATTATTATTATTATTATTATTATAATGGATATAATCACACTATTTTTGTTATAATATTAATAAATAAGGAACTGGTTTAGAGAGAGTAAAGTTTGTGTTGTGCTGCCCATACGGGTTTACTACTAATTGTTTTGTTAATAAATATTGGCAACATCTTGTAATGTTGTGTTAATGTTCACCAGTACCACTGAATGTTGCCACCACTGTCACCAGTACCACTGAATGTTGCCACCACTGTCACCAGTACCACTGAATGTTGCCACCACTGTCACCAGTACCACTGAATGTTGCCACCACTGTCACCAGTACCACTGAATGTTGCCACCACTGTCACCAGTACCACTGAATGTTGCCACCACTGTCACCAGTACCACTGAATGTTGCCACCACTGTCACCAGTACCACTGAATGTTGCCACCACTGTCACCAGTACCACTGTATGTTGCCACCACTGTCACCAGTACCACTGAATGTTGCCACCACTGTCACCAGTACCACTTAATGTTGCCACCACTGTCACCAGTACCACTGAATGTTGCCACCACTGTCACCAGTACCACTGAATGTTGCCACCACTGTCACCAGTACCACTGAATGTTGCCACCACTGTCACCAGTACCACTGAATGTTGCCACCACTGTCACCAGTACCACTGAATGTTGCCACCACTGTCACCAGTACCACTGAATGTTGCCACCACTGTCACCAGTACCACTGAATGTTGCCACCACTGTCACCAGTACCACTGAATGTTGCCACCACTGTCACCAGTACCACTGAATGTTGCCACCACTGTCACCAGTACCACTGAATGTTGCCACCACTGTCACCAGTACCACTGAATGTTGCCACCACTGTCACCAGTACCACTGAATGTTGCCACCACTGTCACCAGTACCACTGAATGTTGCCACCACTGTCACCAGCACCACTGAATGTTACCACCACTGTCACCAGCACCACTGAATGTTGCTACCACTGTCACCAGTACCACTGAATGTTGCCACCACTGTCACCAGTACCACTGAATGTTGCCACCACTGTCACCAGTACCACTGAATGTTGCCACCACTGTCACCAGTACCACTGAATGTTGCCACCACTGTCACCAGTACCACTGAATGTTGCCACCACTGTCACCAGTACCACTGAATGTTGCCACCACTGTCACCAGTACCACTGAATGTTGCCACCACTGTCACCAGTACCACTGAATGTTGCCACCACTGTCACCAGTACCACTGAATGTTGCCACCACTGTCACCAGCACCACTGAATGTTGCCACCACTGTCACCAGCACCACTGAATGTTGCCACCACTGTCACCAGCACCACTGAATGTTGCCACCACTGTCACCAGCACCACTGAATGTTGCCACCACTGTCACCAGTACCACTGAATGTTGCCACCACTGTCACCAGTACCACTGAATGTTGCCACCACTGTCACCAGTAGCACTGAATGTTGCCACCACTGTCACCAGCACCACTGAATGTTGCCACCACTGTCACCAGTACAACTGAATGTTGCCACCACTGTCACCAGTACCACTGAATGTTGCCACCACTGTCACCAGTACAACTGAATGTTGCCACCACTGTCACCAGTACCACTGAATGTTGCCACCACTGTCACCAGAACCACTGAATGCTGCCACCACTGTCACCAGTACCACTGAATGTTGCCACCACTGTCACCAGTACCACTGAATGTTGCCACCACTGTCACCAGTACAACTGAATGTTGCCACCACTGTCGCCAGCACCACTGAATGTTGCCACCACTGTCACCAGTACCACTGAATGTTGCCACCACTGTCACCAGCACCACTGAATGTTGCCACCACTGTCACCAGTACCACTGAATGTTGCCACCACTGCCACCAGTACCACTGAATGTTGCCACCACTGTCACCAGTACCACTGAATGTTGCCACCACTGTCAACAGTACCACTGAATGTTGCCACCACTGTCACCAGTACCACTGAATGTTGCCACCACTGTCACCAGTACCACTGAATGTTGCCATCACTGTCACCAGCACCACTGAATGTTGCCACCACTGTCACCAGTACCACTGATGTTGCCACCACTGTCACCAGTACCACTGAATGTTCCCACCTCTGTCACCAGTACCACTGAATGTTGCCACCACTGTCACCAGTACCACTGAATGTTGCCACCACTGTCACCAGTACCACTGAATGTTGCCACCACTGTCACCAGCACCACTGAATGTTGCCACCACTGTCACCAGTACCACTGAATGTTGCCACCACTGTCACCAGTACCACTGAATGATCCCACCTCTGTCACCAGTACCACTGAATATTACCACCTCTGTCACCAGTGCCACTGAATGTTCCCACCACTACCACCAGTACCACTGAGTGTTCCCACCTCTGTCACCAGTACCACTGAATGTTCCCATCACTACCACCAGTACTACTGAATGTTCCCCCCTCTGTCACCAGTACCACTGAATGTTCCCACCTCTATCACCAGTACCACTGAATGTTCCCACCTCTGTCACCAGTACCACTGAATGTTCCCACCTCTATCACCAGTACCACTGAATGTTCCCACCTCTATCACCAGTACCACTGAATGTTTCTATAAAAAAAAGGATTATTTAGTGTTCTGGTAGCGGGTGGTTAATGTTACGTCTTCGGAGGCTTCTTTGTTTATTGTTAAGTCGTGGTGGGTACACAGGCTTGTGTTGTTCCCATGGCCCGGGAAGGGCCATCCCATGAGAGAGAGCTGGGAGTACTTGTGTCTTCCTGCTAGGCCGCTGTGTGAGTGAGGCAGAGGCAAGGGCAGGCAGGCTGGCATGCCCACCGAGAGGCCTGGCTACAGAGGGCAGCACCTGAGTGGCGCGAAATATGAACTAAGCTGGCAGACAGCATGGGCTGTCTGTGCAGACAGTACAGGCTGTCTACATACGCTCGGCCACCTACCGCGCGTTGTCCCGACGCGACAATACTGGTGGTAAAAGAAACTCGGTCTCTCTCTCGTAGGAACAGGACACATAACACAAAATAAAAAAACATATTCATGTATATGCATATGGACATGGAAAAAAAACTTCCTACAGGGTGGGAAGAAACAAACATGTGGGGTGTGCTAAACATCGTGGTCAAAGGCAGTGAGCGTCGAAGTGCATCACTGCACGCCTTCCTGCGTCTGGACAGATACTGCAACACGGGAGACATCGCTGCGGCTGAGCTGTGATGTAACAGGGTACGGTCTCCTCTGGAACGGTGAAGCAGTCATCGTAGGAGTCGCTGCAGGTTTTCACTCAACCTGGGGCACGACATGCTGGTGCTCTCGAGTGAGGCATCGACAAAACTCGGCAACTGGGCAGGACTTCTGGCAAGCGACTCAGGAGGACACTTCTCGACTGGTACTGTCGTTGGGCTGTCACTGCTGGCGAGCGTGGAGCAAGTTGTGGAGCGAGTCGTGGCAGAGACGACTGGGCGAAACATCTGGGAGTCGTAACATCATACACCAGACTGCAGTGAGAGAGCTAGCAGTCAAAGTGACATCTTTGTGCAAGCTGCTCACTGAAGATTGTGACACTAGGCTGACACAGCGTGTCATTCTCTCGACAGTTGGAGTTATAGCAGAGGTTAGTCTAAGCGTCCCCAGACTTGTTTCTCTACATATAACTGCATTCTGAAGGTCTGGAGGTGAAGTGAAACAAATCTCGATGGGAATCGTAGCAGGTACGATTCTGCAGAACATCACGAGCGACGAGCATAAAAGCTTTCTGTACAAGAGGGCTCGGTCACTCGGGGGCTGACTGATAGCTGTCAAACACACTGGTCACACGGGTGACTTAACACAGTGGTGCTACTCAGGTCTGGCTCAGACCTCACTGGACACACGGAAACTTTAAACACACACGCGGTACATGCGGTACAACATGGCTTAAACTAGCAAATGATGCTTTTCTGTGCACAAAACTGACACTAAGACTTATACTAAAATGTGAGAACATTGACTGAGAGGAATTAATTAACACACGACATATATTTTCTCTCAGTCTTCTCGACAATACTAAAATAATTACTGAACACTCGATGGTGACATCATGTGATGTCAGGCGTGATGTCGCGAGGTGACGTCAGCAGACATCTCGAGGTGACCTCAGGGAGACATCGTGAGGTGACGTCAGCAGACATCATGACTTCATGAAGTCGGGCAGCATCGTGGGTGACGTCAATGTGATGCAGGCAGCATCGTCGGTGACGTCAATGTGATGCGGGCAGCAGACCACAGCATGTGGCCTGGGACATCTGGTAACTAACGTGACTTGTAGATGCACGTGACATCGCCCACACCCACGTGGCATCGGGATCCACGTGGCGTCGTGATCTACGGGGCATGCTGATCCACGTAGGTTCGAGTGGCCTCGGGCACTCGGATACACAGCTCTGGCAATGAATCACACGAAAAACAGCAGAAAACACTCCAGAGGGAGTGAGCAGTGGTGAGCGTATGGTAGATGGGTGAGGTGTGAGAGTACAGCAGGGCGAGGCAGGGAGCGGCCTCTTCCTCCTCCCACAAACACGTGGAGAACTCACACTGGACGCAGAAATCGCCACGAAACTCACCTCTAGCTTGCTGAAACAGCTGTGTTGAGCTGAACAACAACAGCAACATACAAATGACGCTGAACACGTGACTTGAGAAACAGCGTGGGATGCTGTAGCGTGGGGTCACTTACAATTCTCGGAGAATTTCGGCAAATTTCGGCTGGATCCTGCTTGTACCTGTGTCTGGGTGCTCAAACGTGCAGACACGACATCAGGATAACTCGTTGAGAGACGGATGCTGCTTGTATAGGGTGATAAAGTGAAGATGACTTCATACCTCTTCCTTCCTCTCTCAGGGCAAACACAACTGATGCGACCACCGCTTTCCACAATTTATAACGGGATTATTTGGTAGAGCTGAAAGCGGGGCGTAAATGATACGTCTTCGGAGGCTTCTTTGTTTATTGTTAAGTCGTGGTGGGTACACAGGCTTGTGTTGTGCCCATGGCCCGGGAAGGGCCATCCCACGAGAGAGAGCTGGGAGTACTTGTGTCTTCCTGCTAGGCCGCTGTGTGAGTGAGGCAGAGGCAAGG